CTGCCAGCCCCATGTCCCTGCCCAAATCACTGCCCCCATGGTCACAAAGCCAAGCCCCAGGGGCAAACTGCTGCAGGCTGCCCTGCTGCAGTGGCACAAGTGCCAAGATGGGCTGAGGGAGGGTGGCTTTTCTTTTCCTTCCCCTCTCGGGAAGCTGGAGGCTCAGCGCTCCTGACAGATCTGGCAAATGGTGCCCTGAGGCTCTGGCTGGAAAATACCGTGCAGGGGCTCCCAGCTGTGAGCTGGGCTCTGGCTTCGGAATTCAGACTTTGGAGGGGGGAACTCACTAATTATTGATTAAAAGATTTTGCTAAACCATTTCCGTAAGCATCAGCCCACTGAGGAAAGCGTGCTGAATTATACATCACAGCGCCGTGCTGCCCTGCCTCCCGCAACAGGGCCGCTTTGCACCCAAAACAGGGCCTTGGCATGGGGTGAGGCAGTGCCACCCGTGGGGGCACGGCAGCGCCCTGGCTGACCCCCCCACGTTGACCCCCCTGCTGTGGTGGGACTTGCTAACGAGCAAACGTGCTGATGGAAAACAACCCCGGGGCTCCGCGCCCAGCTGCAGCTCTCGCTCTCGATCTGCGGTGTCCTTTGGTGAAATTTTAAACAGTCGCCTTTTTTTTCTTTTTCTTTTTTTTCCCCAGCTTGCCATTAATTTCAAATCGAGGGGGACCTAATTTAGTAAATGACATGCTTCAGGAAGGCTTTAATTAGCTGCAGACGGAGGCAGCTGGTGCTCCCACGGGGTCCGGATCGCACAGGGGGCTGCGCGCCCAGGCTGGGGGTCGTGGTGCTGGCTCAGCGAGGGCTGTGGGTGGGGGGGCTGATAAATGGGGGTAGTTTCTCTCTACCAAAAGGCCAAATCCCCTCCACATCTGTGCCCCCAACCAGCCGGGGCGTGCTCTCATTTCCCACCCATCACCCCAAATCTCACTGCCGGTGAGCCTGGGCATCCCCGCCAGCTCGTGGGAGCTCGGCGGGTCGGGGCGACGTGGCAGCAGCTCCTGCCATGCAGCAGCAGCGGGGCTGGGGCACAGCAGGGCGGGGGCGTCCCCGGCCCTGTCTCGGCAGCTGTGAGCCACGCAAATAGCCTGAGTTTCCTGGAGGCAACAGGGCTGAAACTCGAAAGCAAGAGCCGGGCGCTCAGAATAGCCTCAGCTGGCCGGTGGGAGCAGGCAGAGGGGCAGCTCGGCTTGGGGTACAGGGTGAGTGTGAGGCCCTGGGGGCTGCCCGGCCCTCCCAGCTTTTCCAGGAAGGTGTGGGGCAGCATCTCCAGCTGCGGGGGGTCTCCAGCTGCGGGGGCGCACAGTGCTGAGAGCCCCTGGCCCCACCAGCCCCACTGTGCAGCTGTGCGGGGTCGGGGCGTCCCCGAGCTAAATTTACTCCCCAGTCTCCAATCAAAACTTGCGCTGGGGGGCCCGAGCTGGCAGAAAAAAGGAACTGAAACGGTCTCCAGCAAGCGCTGACGTGTGAAGCAGAGCGAGCGCCGCGCCAAGCGAGCGCCACGCCAAGCGAGTGCCATGCCGCGCGCCTCGGGCTGGGCCGAGCTGGCCTGGGCTGGGTCGAGCTTGGCTTCTGCTTGGGGATGGCAGCACCGTGCCAGGGTGGGTGCCCAGTTTGGGCGACCCAGCAGATGCACACACACACGTGCACACACAAACACGCACACACACACATGCACACACACACACACGCACACCCTGCCTCACCAAGCGCACAGGGCCCCCAGGATGTGGCACCGCCAACCCCACACACCCGGGGCTGGGCGCGCTGCTCTGCCCATGGCCCTGTCCCTGTGTCCCACCCCCTGCCCAAGCTGGGCCCCCTGTTCCCACTCCACCACTGGGTCACCCCGAATCCTTGCTGACAGACGGAATTACTCCAGTAATTCCTGCCTGCCTCCAGGCAGCGCCATGGCTGAGCTTGTCCACGACACTGCGACCTGCCATGAAATGCATGAGGCAGACTCAAGAATCCCAAAATACAGAGCAGATTTCCCAGAATGTGTGAAATAAAATACATTAGGAATGTTCCCCCTGCAGCAGAGCCCTGGCTGCAGGCAGCTCAGAGAGCGCAGCTTCCATTGCACCATGATTAAAGGTGAATTAAATGAAATTAATAAATGCTTCAGGCGGGCTCAGCTGCAAGTACCACCTGACCGAAATCGCCCGCTCACAGAGAAGAGAAAATTTGCATGGCAGTGGCAAAACAGCAACCGCCCGCTGTACAGCTGGGCAGCCCGAGCAGCCCTGCCACTGGGATGTTTTTTTCTGGAGCCACGCACTCAGCCCGCGCGGAGGTAAATAGCAACAAATAGAAACTGCATGGCTTGTCCAGGTCATAAACAAGCTGAGCCAACTCAAAAATAAACACCTCTGAGATGCTTAAAAATATTTGTCATTTCAAGTTTAGCGTGTTAATAAAGTAAAACTCCCAACAGAGCTATGCACCTGTTCTGGAAAGGAAGCAAACACTTGTTTTCTGCCGGCGTTTACTGTAAAAAGCCGCGTTTCCTGATGCAGGTGCGCCAACAAAGCCATCTCTTGATGTCCTGAAAACAGCTTGTCTGAAAAATGAACGTGAGTTGAGCTTCATCGCTGTTTAAGACTCCCATGAGCGGGTTTGTAGCTTTCTGTTGGGACACATCGGGAGCAGGCACGGTGCTGGGGTTGGGGAGGTGGCGGCGGGGAGGCAGGAGCGGGGCCGGGCCCAGCGGGTGTGCGATGTGTGCGGCGATGTGCTCCGCCAGCCACCACGTCCCTGCCCCAGGCCCCCGGGCATGAGCAAGGTGCTTGTTTCACTGAGCCGTTTGGGGAAGTTTTTAAGCCAAATGCTGATTTTTCTCCCCACTTTGACAGCCTGACAGGGCCAGAGCTGTGGCATGGGGGGGAACTCACGGGAGGTGATGGGGACACTGTATGCATCCCAGGGCTGGATCCTGCACCCCACAAAGTGCTGCCCCTGCCAGCACACCCCATCCCCGGACAGACAGACGGCCTTTCCCCAGCCCCCTGCAGCCTCCCTGGGCCAAGTGTTGTTTTTTAAGTGTTTCTGCCATGTTTTTCAGCATTTTTAGAAGGGCACCTCGGGCTGGCCATCGCATGTACGTGCAGCTGCACTTCACCAGCCCCACAGCTGGGCCCGCGCTCCCCCCTGGCCAGATGTGCTGACCGCAGCCACGGGGCTCAGGGGCAGCACTTTATCTTGCTAAAAATTGCATCCTGGCCGAAAACAAGTGGCCACTTTGGCCAAACACCAGCTGGCGGCCAGGAATAGCCGTGGCCACGGCACGCTCGGCTTCCTCGGAACAAACTTTCCAGCACGTGGCACCGCGAGCGCCGCTGCCTGGCATGGCAGCCAGCAGGGCCAGGAGCAGGAGAAGCTCATTTTGGGCTCCATTTTGGCAATGGCTCAGACAGGGGGTTTGCAGGCAGCTCCCCAGTGATGGTGACTGGGGTTTGGGAAAATGGGGGGTGAAGAGTTTTTGCCCCCCGACTCCAGAGCAGGCTCTGGTCTCATTTCGCTGCAGGGCACTGGGGGCATGTCAGTGCAGCGGTTTGTAGAAACACCTCAAACACTGCAAATGCTGAAAAGTGCAGTGATAAGACAAGGAGTAATGGCCTTAAATTAAAAGAGAGTAGGTTTAGGGTACATACCAGGAAGGATTTGTTCACTCAGTGGCGGTGAGGCTCTGCACCAGGCTGCCCAGAGAAGCTGTGGCTGCCCCTTCCCTGAAGAGCCCAAGGCCAGGCTGGACGGGCCTTTGGGACACCCGGTGTGGTGGGAGGCGGCGTGCCCATGGCAGGGGGCTGGGGCCAGATGAGCGTTAAGGTCCCTTCCCACACAAACCATGCGGTGATTCTAAAACTGGGCCATGAAAGCGCCCATCCTGCAGCCATGTTGAACACAGGCTGAACCATGGATGCAGTGAAATTGTGTGTGTGTGTCTGTGTGTGTGTGTGTGTGTGTCTGAGGGGGGCTCACATGGCCAGAGGGCTTTGTGCCTCACTCCCCAGAGCCACCCAGTGCCACTGTGGCCACAGAGACTGGTCCCCTCCAGCCACAGGCCAGCAGTGCTCCTGCTGGGCCCAGGGCCGCTCTGTGCCACGCTGCTGCACAGTGCCCCACAGTTTCCTGGGGCCTCTGCTGTGCCCAGCCACACACAATGGGCTTCCTGCACTGCTCCTGGCCCTGTCCCCCTCCCCAGGCTCACCCACGGGCATGTTCAAAGCCCCTTAGTGTGGGGACACCACAGGGCACAGGGGACGCTGCCCTAGGGCAAGGTGGCAGGGACCAGCCTGCAGCCCCCACACCGGCCGTGGCTCGCCAAGGTCAGGCACACAGGGACGAGCGTGGCCCCACACATGCCGGCTGGCCCCGGCCCCAGCCGCCCTCTCACCCCCTGCACAGGGGTCTGTGGCTGCCAGGGGTCCCCTGGGCTCCCTGGATCTGCAGCGCACCCACACCCCAGCCCTGGCTGGCTCCGCGCAGGCCTGCAGCACCGTTTTCCCCCCAGAAATGAAGAAAAGCCCAGGCAGCCCCCCTCTGCTGCTAGCAGGGCCTGTGCTCTTACTCCCATAACTTCAAATGAGGCTGGAAGGGCCTGGAGCATCAGCAGGGTAAGGATGGGTCACCGCTCTGTGTGGCTCTGCCCCGAGGCGCAGGGCAGGGCAGAGCAGGCACAGCTGCAGCAGTTTCTGCTGGCCTAAAATTAGCTTCTGGGAAAGGGCCACAAATTCCCCGTGCTGCACCCCGTGGGGCTGAGATGTGCCACGTCCCCATGACAGGGCCCGGGGGAAGGCAACGTGGCCACGTCTGCACATACAGCGACCACAGGGACACGTGCTGGGCCAGGATTCGGCCCCTGGGGCTCACGGTAGAGCCGTGCACCATCACAGAGCCAGCCTGGCCCCATCCTGCCTGCCCCCAGCTCCCTGCAGCCCCCCGTGCCACGTACCCATCACCATCACCACTGAAGGGACACGGAGCCGGAGGCAGTGACGGGGCCGGGAGCTCGCCTTTATTCCAGCCCCAACAGGCCCCATAGCCCCGCAACAGGGTGGCTGAGCCCCACGTCCACACCAGCCAGGGCTGCAGCACCCTGGCCCAGCTGCTGCCCCGAAGTGCTTTTTTTTTTTTTTTTTCTTTTTTCCCCATTTCCTATGAATCAGATGTTGCCTTGCTTCTTTGCAAAGATTTTGGGGGCCAGGAGGCGACGGGCGGGGGTGCCGGACCCTATGGGGATGGAGAGAGGGGGCTGAGCAGGGCCAGCAGGAGCAGCTGGGGACAGGAGGTGGCCGGGGCAGCCGCGGCTGGAGGTGGCGTCCCTGGAGGCGAAGACCTTGCGGCTGTGGAGCGGCTGCGGCGGGCGGTAGTTGTTGGTCATCTTCAGGGGCACGGCGCCCGAGACTGGGAAGTAGACGGTGTTCACGAACGCCCGCAGCTGCCGGGGGGAGAGGCGTGGGGTTGGGAGCCGTGCCACCTGCGTGTCCCAACCCTGGGGCACGCGTGGCTCAAACACGGGGCCAAGTGAATTCATCCACCCACCCCGCTCAGCTCCCCCAGCCCCACAGCCCAGCCCGGTGCCCCAGGAGCAGACATCCCCTTTGCCTACCCCAGTGCTATTGTTCAGGTGTAAGGAAACGCACAAGGAGCAGGATGCTCACGGCATGGCTTTTGGCCACCTGAGGCTCTCCAGCCCCACGGCAGGGCCGCCCACGCTACCTGCGCCCAGCCGATGTCCACGGGCTCCTCGAACACGGTCCAGACAACGGCCTCGCTGCAGTCTGGGGTGGTGAGGGAGCCCTGGTAGCGGTAGTACCGGGAGAGCCGGCTGGCACGTGGCAGCAGCGTGCTCAGGCGGAAGGTGGAGGCCAGGTCCACAGACTGCCCTGCGTGGTGAGACGCGGGCACTCAGCCCACACCAGGACAGGGGACAGCAGGGCCACCCCCATCCACTGCCCCACAACCTCCCCATTGCCCCCAGCCCATCCCCGGACCCCTCCCCTCCTGCTCGTGCCCCAGGGCAGGAGCACGAGGATGCCTCACCAGCATGGGAGATGTTCCTCAGGCCGCTGACGATGGTGTTGTAGTTGGGGTTTGGGGCTTCAGAGACCTGCAAGGCAAGAGCAAGCAGCTCAGGTGGGCAGAGCCCATCCCGCAGCCTGGCAGTGGGGTGGAGGAGTTTGCAGCGGGGCCCCTGCTTTATACGATGTCGGGGGGCTCTCAGGCAGGGATCGCCCAGAGCCAGCATTTCCCAAGGAGCCTTTGGGAACACATACGGGTCCTCTGGGGACACTTGCCCCCTGGTCGCAGCAGTGCTCTGCTTGAACCCACGGGTGCTGGAGGGCACCAACCCCGTGAGCCACCACCAGCCTACCTGGAAGAAGCAGCCCAGGACGGCCAGCCCGCTCGGGTGCCCCTTGGCCTCCCCCAGGGTGCGGTACTTGGCGTTGATGTGGACGATGTGCAGCTGGGGAAAGACAGAGAGGCTGAGCGTGGGCACCCAGCCGAGCCCCCGCCTCACCCTGACCTCGCCAGGCACTGTGCTGGGAGAGCAACGTGCCCGGGGCAGAGGAGGGAAAGGGGATGCACAGCCCGTGTGCCCGAGCATCTGCTCCAGCCGCAGTGAGTCAGTTTTGCTCTACTCTGACAGACCATAAATACCTTACAGGCACAGAGGCTCGTTTGTCCAGGAGCATCCCAAGGTGTTTGGTGGAGCCGCGCTCACGCCCGCCCTCCCTCCCTTCCCCGACTTGAGACACGATCCCTGCGGGCACCGGGGCTGCTCCCCGCCTACCTCCATGGGGAGCTGGTGCCCGTCCAGGGTGTGCTCGGAGCCGTTCCCGGCCGGGCTGCCCCAGTGGAAGTGGAGCTGCAGCGCGCGGTACCGGCCGGGGAGGCCCCCGCCGCTGATGGCGATGTGCTCGGAGGCCGGCTCACCCTCCAGGCTCAGCATCACTGCAAGGGACGGGATAGGGACAGGGCTGGCCCCGCGGGGACACCGGAGAGCTGCAGCACCAGCAGGGGGCTGAGCCCATCGCGGGAGCAGAGCACCCACCCGTGTGCCCGTTGTTCACCAGCCTCCACTTGCCCGGGGGGGCCTGGTCGTAGCCCTCGAAGACGATGTCCCCGAGGCCGCTGTCCCTCTGCAGCCGGCGCCTGTCGATGTTCACCGGGGACTGCTTGCTGCCGCCGCACGTGGCCTTCAGCTCCTTCCAGTGGCTGGGGCCTGCGGGGGGTCACGGCCATGTGAGCCACCTCCACCCCAAGGGGGACACAAGGTGGCCAGGCCCCCAGCTGGCCCTGCAGTCTCCATCCCTTCTCTCATTACCCTGAGGAGGTTTTTGGCTGGAAACCTTGGGAGCTGCATCCCCCCCGTGCTGCCCACCCCGCAGATTCCCCATTACCCGCTGCCACCATTAAGGAGCAGTCCCCGCAGCCCTGCTGGGACATGTGGCCGGCTTTGTGCAGCCCTGGCTGCCCCCTGCCAGCCCCGCTCCTCAGCCAAAACCAGCCCTGGCCGCTGCCCGCCTTGGTTGAATTGTTGTGAAGTCAAATCTCTGCGGGGCAGCAACAAGCAGAGCCCGGCCGCTCGCGCTCCTGGACACGGCTGACCTGCTGCGGTGGCCGGGCACGGTGCACGTGCACCCGAGGGCTATAAAGCAGCTGGGCTGTAACAGCTGATTAAATGCTCCTTGAGCCTTAATTAACCTTTTACAAGCTATTTGTGTGCTTCCAAACAATGTGCCCCCAGGCGTACCGAGGGCAGGTGCCTCTCAAGGCAGGGAGGGCACCAAAACAGAGCCGTGCCCTTGTGCCGGGGCTGTCCCCACTCACCACATTTGGGGTCCTGCGAGTCGTAGCACCACTGCCCTGCGGGAGAGAGCACGGGTCAGGGGGGCCACGGGGGCACCCCAAAACCCCTCTTGTTGCAGAGAAACCCCCCTCAGCCACCTGAGCCCCACCATTACCGCACGCTCACCCCCTCTCTGCCTTCCCAGGCAGCTCTGTGCAATTTGGGTCACCCCCTGGGGGTGGCCGGGCCCCATCTCCGCAGCCCCAGCCCGAGGGGGGAGGCAGTCACAGGGGGCTGCAGCACCCTCGGTGCCCCCGTGGCTGGTCAGGCAGCAGGAGGTGGCTGCAGCACGCAGGGGTGGCCGTGGGCAGGTCTGCACCCACGCCGCGGGGACGACGCTCGCCCCATCGCCTGGAGCATCCTCATCCAGAGCCGCTTCCCTCCCACCAGCGCTGCTGTCAGCGCTCGGAGGCAGGCGGCATGGGGACTCGCTCCACGCCGGGCTTCGGTGCGGCAGGGAAGCGGGAACACCGTGAGCTGGAGCTCCCAGGGCTGCGGGCTTTGCTCCCATTGCAGTCCCACCAACCGGCCCCAAATCCCCGCGTGGCAGCACAGCCCCCCCCGGCACCGCACGTCCCCCAGGGACTGGCTGCAGGGTGCGGATGCTGTGCCGGGGGAGCAGTGGCACAGCGCAGCCCCCGGCCTCGGCCCTTCGCAGCCACCCGCGGGGATGGGCCAGGCAAGCAGCCCCCGCTGAGCCCTTCCTGCACCACCTGTACTGCTGACAGCCCGGCCTGCGGCCCCACGTCCAGATCCCTGCTGCACAGCAGCCTCAGAGGGTCGGGAGCGGGATGGTGCCAGACTCGGACTGTCCCCAGGACAGGGATTTGGGGCTTTCCTCCCCATGCAGTGGGAGCTGAGCTCCTCGGGATCCCTCAGAGCCGCAGCATGCTGCCCTTGCCCCACCACAAGCATCCCCTGGCAGAAGCCAGATGAGCGCCTGCTGCTGCCGGTCTCATCCCAAAGCAGGGTGCCCGCATGCCCTAGCCCAGCACAGAAGCCCCAGGCTACTTGGAGGTTTCACCCACGGTGACATTCCCTGGGTTACATCCCAAATCCCGAGTTCCTGAATGCCCACCCGACCCAATCAGCACCCACCCAGCCACCTCCTGCCAGGGCCAACACCTCCCCAACCCGGTGGCACAGCGGGGACAGGGATATCCTGCAGGGATGGGGCAGGACCAGGTCCCCCAGTCCCGAGCTTTCTGGACCCGTATCCACTCCCTGACAGGTGGAAGGGGAACAAACCGCTGGCACCCGCGCCCCACGCCCGTCCCTCCGGCCACCCCAGGCACCAGCAGCGCAGCGGGCAGGCAGCGCATCTCACCTCCCGCGGCTGCTCGGATGACAAGAGGCAAAGTCACAAAAGTTATCCCCAGCCCCTGCGGCCCCATGCCAGCAGCAGGGCCGTGCCAGCCACCCCGCCGTGATGCCCCGTCCTCCTCCGCAGTGCGCCCGGGCGGGCGGCAGGGCTGGGGCGGGATGCAGCGCTGCCAGCCCCGGAGAAATCCTCAGCTCCAGCCTGAGCACTGCTGTTAAATATTCATCACAAGGGCTGAGTTTTTAACTCCTTGCCTGCTAGGAGGGAGCAGGGAGCGCCCGGCCCCCAGCCAGCCCCTGTGCGCAGTGCCAGGCCCCTGCCCGGGCTGGCACGCGTGGGCAGCCAGGAGCAGCAGGGCAGCGGCAGCCTCCCAAAGCCCTGGGGCTGCACCTGAGCTGCCCGGCCTGCTGCCCTCCTGGGGGCCAAGAGGGTGGCAGGGGTGCCGCAGGCATCCCATCCCCTTAGGGATGCTCTCCATCCCTAAAGCGGGGGCTTGCAGCATCCCCACTGCACCCCCAGCCCTGTGCAGGGCCACAGACAGGCTCCTGCAGGACCATCGGTATTCAGGGAGGGTTGGGGCTGCCCCATCCTCTCCCCACTCCTTGCATGCACACACACACTTGTGCAAAGGAGCTTGTGACAGCCTCTACCCCCAGCATGGCTCTGGAACCCACCAGGAGCTGCCTGCGGTGCTGCCCCCCTGCTAGGGGGCTCACGGTAGGAGCTGGGGCCAGGCAGGGCCGTGGGGACCCACGGGCCAAACCCAGCTCACCCCTGTGATACCTCAGCCAGGGCTGGTTTGGGAAGTGGCCACTTTCCTGAGTGGGGCCGTAGAGGCAGCACCTCACAGCCTGTGCCCCCAGAGCCCCCATGGGGGGGGAGGTCACGTCCCAGGGGAGCTCTCATCCCAACGAAAGAGTTATTCTCCTGCAGAGGGTAGGTAGGAAGGGGAGTGAACGTGCAGGATTGTGGTGCTGTCACATTATCCTAAAATATCCCAGCTTTCTTCAGACAGCAGTGAAAAAGGAGGCCACAGGGCTCATCCCTCATCTCTTGCAGGTACTCACGTCCTGGCTCAGAGCTCGGCGGTGCTGCCAGGATAAATAAACCTCGGCACCGACACAAGGGCCGCAGAAACAAGTGTCCTGCTGGTGGCTTGGCCGGGGACTCACTGCAGCTCAGCTCTGCCACTTGCTGCAGGGACATCAAAGGCTGGGCTCACCTCTATGGGGCTCTTTGGGGCATGCTTGTCCCCCTCCCCAGGCAGAGCCACTGCCCCACCATACCCAGTGTCACCCAGTGTCCCTCTTCCCCTGGCCATCACCGTGTCCGCAGCAGGGGGTGGCCGCCCTGCGCACTCCCTCCCCTCCATGCACCCACCCCGCCAATGGGCCTGGGGCTATTCCCCACCCTGGGGCATTCGCCAGGGCACAGTTTCTCTGGTGCTTATTTCTGGCAAGGCAGGCAGAAGCAGAGATGCTACCACAGAGGACACATGGCCAGGAGCACCACTGCGGAGATGCCCAGCAGGGACGAGCCCCCTGTCCCATGATGGCCCCACAAGAAGAGGCCGTACCTGCTGCCCACCCGTCCCAGTGCCCTCCCGCTGCACCAGGCTGGAGCAGCCTGCAGTTTCTATAGGAACCAGATCAAACCTTCCCGGAGCTGCTCTGTGCTTCCCAGCCTGCTGCTGCTGCTGCTGATGGTGGCGGGGGGCTCACAGCTGAACCCTGCAGCTCCGCGCTGTCCTCACGGAGAGACCACGTCCATCTCCCTGCCGCGCAGGAGCCAGCAGGAGGTGAGCTCCCGCTGGCATGCGTGCGCACCAGCATGAAGGGAGAGAGCCATTATAGGAAAAAAAAAAAAAAGGCTCTGAAAAATAAAAATAGTTTCTGAAGCTGCAGCCATCGATCAGACGTGGGCACGGTGCCACCCTGCTGGGAACCCCCGCCACAGGCATCATCAGCGAGCGTTGCACCAACACGCGGCAGTGCCAAGAGCAGCTCCCGGCGGTGAATCCTGCGCTGAGCCCGGCCCGGGGACGTGGGGTGAGCAGGACAGCAGGCAAGACAAGGACTGGAGCAGGCAGAGCGGTGCTGCGTGGGTCAGGCAGCCCAGAGATGGGTGCTCAGAGCGTTGTGTGAGAGCAGCAGGGAGATGGAGCCCGAGCAGAATAAATACCCCGGTGGCTCCTGACTTTGCTCTGCTGTTGGCAGTGAGCTGGCGTGGCCAGAGAGCCGGGGCAGGGAGCGCAGCAGCACCCAGGTGCCCGCACAAAGGCGGCAGTGTGGGCAGCAGCTGCGTGTGGCCCCATCGCCCCCCTGCACTGCCTGGCACCCCGGGGCCAAGCGCTGCATCTGCCTGTGGCACCGGCAGCGAATGCCACCTCGCCTCCTGTCACCCCAAAACTCTGCGGGCAGGGGATGGCGAGCGGTGGCACGGTGGCGGCAGTGACACCGTGTGCTGGCCGGTGTTCAGCAATGAGCGCATCCTGCGGCCACCGAGCCACCAGCAGAGCTCGGGCACAGCCCGGAGCATCCCGCAGACCCCTCGGCAGGCACCGAGCCCAGTGACCGAGCGTTTCCATGAGCTCAGCCCCAGCCCGGAGCCACATCACCGTCCCCTCGGCCAGGGCTGGACCATGCGCTAAGGGGCCACAGCTCCTTCCCCAGCCCCGAGAGCAGCTCCCTGGGGCCTTGCTGGGAGTGGGAGCTCCGTTCTTTGGTCACCTCCCCCAGCTAAAGGGGATTTGACCCCACACAGCCCTAGGAATGGAGCCCAGTTTGGGGCTGGGATTTTGTTTCCAGCCCTGAGGAGGCCAGAAGGCCGCAGAGCGCTGCCACAGGGATGGGGGCACGCGGGCACCGGGGGGGCTGCAGGGCTCAGGGGATGGCAGGGGAAATCCGTGCTGCAGCAGCAGGCTCGCATCCCTAAAGGCCACACAACAGCTTAAAGGGACTTATTTTTCCACCAAGGCCTCTCGGGCACGGCCCTGCCGCCAGGCGGCCCCGTGAGGGCGGTGAGGGGCCTGCAGGGACAGGGACAGGGACAGGGCCCGGGCCCTGCGGCTCGCTCCTGCCCCCTGCTGCCCACACGAAGCCCCCTGCCAAAGCCCCGCCGCTGCCCCAAGGCTGCTCCGGGCCCCCCGAGGCTCCCCCTGCACAGGATGAAGGCCGGAGCTCGCCCATGCAGCAGGGCCAGGCCCGGGGCACGGCCCCAACCTTCCCTTTGGAAGCTTCAGGACAAAGGGGCGCTTTAGAATAGCTCGAGGTTGGGACAGGGGAGCTCCCATCTGGCTTTTCTGTCAGTGACACACAACTTGTGACAAGAGATCAGTGCTGACAAGGGGCTCTGGCTGCCCTGGGTACTGTAGCTGTGATCCCTGCTGGTTAAACATCAGTCCCCAGGCAGGATCAGGCACCGAAGTGCTGCCCGAGGGCCCGGCTGCTCCATGCAGGCCATGGCGAGCTGCAGGGCTCAGCTCCCTCCTGTCCCACCCACCGCTGCCTTGTGCCGCTCCTGCCCTCGCTTCTGCTCCTTCCACAGGCTCCCAGCAGCTCCATGAGGGCAGCAGGAAGGGGCTGCACCTCACCTTAGAGGTTATCAACACCAGACTTTCTTCAAGTTACATTATTACAGGTAAACATCGCTGGTATTTGTACACAGACACTGTCTACAGCCACCTTGTTTGAAACCAAACAAGTCTACTGATCTTCTGGCAAGGTCACGGTCTGGAAGTGCACCTAAGGCTTCCTTCACGCTGCTGAAGAACCACACCAGGGCAAGAAATCAGGAGACAGCGAAACGGACCGTTTGTCTTACAGAACACAATTTATTTGGCATTTGGATGAAATGTTTCTCACAGCATCTTGAGAAAAAGAAAGATTAGTGCCAACCCCAAAGAAAGAAGTTAAAACAAAAAAACAGTGTCACAGGGACTGAATTATCATAGTATCAAATTTAAATTCTACATGGTATTTCACAGAATATCAAAATCTTTTATACACTGCCACAGTTAAATCCAGTCACAAACCAACTACACAGGAGAAGCCTGCAAATGCAGCGTTGGCTAAAATTATTTTCCAAGAGAAGGTAAAAAGCAGTGTCTCATTCTCTCTCTCAGCCTCCCAGGCATACACAAGTCTGACATTCAGATTACAGTGCAGCATGGCCATGCACGCAGGCTGCAAGTGCAGCATCTCTGCTGGCATCAACTCCAACCCACTCAACGTTCAAGGTGCACAATACTGGAAAATTAAAGCTATGTCGTACCGTAGCAGGCAGCTAATGCAGAATATTGTTAGGGGAAGCAGATCCTCACCGCTGAATGCATCTATTCCAAAGAAACACAGATTTCGTTTGGAACTGGGTAACGGTGGAAGCAGAATGTATGAACTTTGATTGATTTGCCTCCTCTACACTGATTTGTTCTAATTTTAGGGTCCAGTTCCCAACTTGCAAGGGATATTTAAAAGAAATTTCTGTATATTTCATGTTCTTTAGCTAAGTAGAGAGGAAAAAATACATTTCAGCAACTGAAAAAAAAAAGAGATGTTATGGATCATATGAGAAAACATGAGAACTTCAGGGCTTTATCGCTGAAAAAAATGACTTCTGAAAGATAAAAACAGTTTTTAAAACAGCTTCAAATTCAATTAACAGATGGGAAAAGAACAGTAAGTTACTGGTCACAAAAACAATTTCTTCCCAGGTGAAACTTCAGAGATGCATGAATTGGGCAGCCCTGTGCCACCGGCTCAGGCAGAGCCCAGTGACTTCCAGGAATGCTGCCTGTGCACAGACCGTAAGATTAAGCCTTCAGGAAAAAAATTCACCTGCTTCTTTTTTCTTCTCGACCAGCGCCCTGTCACAAATGGATAAAGGAATCGTCTGAGACTCAGGACTAGACACAACCGAACATTACGCAGACAAGTTCTTTGTACATCTGAATGACAATTTTGATCTTCTAGCACAGAACTAAACCCACTGTCTTTCTAACATTACAATATTCTACAACTCACCTATTAAAAAAAGAGAGGCTGCTGTGAGACTGCGTACATGTATCACTGATAACACCGATACAAGTGAATATCTATGACTGCCCGTGAAGGAACAGCAGAGACCTCAATATGGCACCACAGTACGTAGTAAGGAAGGGGAAACTGAGGAACGGTTTTGTTAGAGGCCACAATGGGATGCGTGAGCCCTGCACAAGGACAGAGTACTGACACCTGACAAGATAGATTGTGGTCAGGAACATTCAAAGAGATATGCCCTCTTTGCTCATTTGTGCTGCAAGGAACGATAAGGTAATGGAACCTCCCCTGCTGTATCTGCAGGAAGATTGGGGATGCACCAGTAGATAAGAAAAACATCCAGAGAAGTGAATGGTGATGGGGAGAAAAAAAAATAAAAATCAATGCACAAAATAACTCTAAAAGATCTCATCAACCTAATGGCAATCAAAACAGTAAGGTCTTCCTCAGGCAAGCATCAAGCTTCAACCCCTTTAATTGGCGCTCAGAACAAAGTTACGTACCAGTCACCTTGCCAAGGGCAAGGAAGTTTTGCTGAGGAGTCAACTGCTGTCAGGAAAACTAACCCTTCCCCAGTTGGTCCAGAAGTCTTAGCAGTTGTGACGTTCTCTGCTCCAAGAGAGAATACTCAATGTGAAAAAGCTACGTTAAAATGGGAAATAAATGACATTTTTATTGCCAAATTAGAAGCTCACTGAGAGGTAAACAAGAGCTGTACTTAGTGAGCTGCTCCATTCAAGGCAAGATCTCCCTCGTTTACAGTTAAGATGAAGAAAGATAGGGAAAAAGAGAGAAAGTTGCAGCCTCTGTGCCAACATAGAAGCGGGAAAGGCTCAGAAGCTATAGGAAACATATTACACTGAGGCTTCTACAAAGAAGCCCGCATTTGGAACAACTATAGCCGGGAGCTATCATGAAGTTACGAATCGTAACAGAGCTTATTTTCAATAAATTCACCACAGAACCAAAAGTAAAATAAAAAAAATATATATTGAACAGATTCCTGCAGTGTTATGAGATGTGTGAGGTAAGGTATCTGTTCACCTCAACCACAAAACACAGCTTCAGAGACTAAACCAAGCCAAAAGGCTTTTTGTTATTGCGCTAGGATACTACAGAGAATGAATGTTCCATCTGGCTTCAAAAGGAATTAGAAATTTTCTAATTTGCACTGCTAACAAAATATTTTCAGGAACAGATTGTAGTAGCATAGACTTTGCATCCTACTTAAGTGTACACTATCACATCCTGTCCTACAACAGAGTGTAGCCAGCTTCAGAGAAGTATTAACCCTAAGAGCCTAGTTTATATCCCAGTGCTTAGCTTCACCTAGCTGGACGCAGCACAAAGGGTACCGTCTACAGTGTATATATATTTTTATATATATATCGCCACCCAGAGACACACGCACGCACGCACACGCATTCGTACCTATAAAACTAAAGAAAAATCAGTACATACAATGTATAAAACGTATGAATGTGCTCAAAAATGCACAAAACCCGCTTTATTTTCATACTTCAGAAATGCTCAATTTGTATGCATGGTTCTCACTACTGCTATCCATCCACTTCGTTAGACCAGGACTTGATCTCAGAGGAGGAGATGGCAACAGATCCCCCAGGGTGGAGAATTGCTCCTCTCGTTTCGTGCTGCTCACGTTAGAGCCAGTCAAACCAGAGAACAGGACGCGCCGTGGTGGTACGACTCCAGGCGAGAGGCTTCCTAACAGTGCTTCCTCCTACTCGCGCGGCAGCAGCGCACACGAGAACTGTGATTCACTCTCCAATGGATTCAAGATCGTTAGCAAGTGTCTGAACGTCAAGACTCCAGATATGATCTCAATAATGAAACTCACAGTTTTCTGTGCAAAAGGAGTTGAATTGTCAAGACCAATCCTCAAATACAGTATAAGCCTATAGGCAAGACACAGAATAGAAAGTAGCAGCATATTCAGTAGGGAAAAGTCAGCTGCACTGGGAAACCACAATAGTGGGTTAGGATTTGTCATACAAGTATGATTTCTCATCATTACTAGAAAAATAATTCACATATACACCCCCATGCAGTGTTTTCTTCCTGTCCCTCTAGGCTTGTACCCTTCATAAGGTAATAGGAGAACACTCACAAGGGGCATTCTTTACATATTCCTTATAATTTATCTCATCTGCTGACTGCTACAATAAGTCAAGGAGAAGCAGAGGCAAGAGGAGGTTGGAGGGTAGGGGCAAATTATTTGTTCACTAAAATCCCACTTAAATTTAAAACCACCTGTAAAGATTGTTTTGCACTCATTATCAAAACCAACAGTGCTTGACCTTGGGATTAGTGAGGGAGTGAATTAATCTCTTTTTGCAATGTTTAAATTAGCTTAAAGAATTCAATCTGAGGGAAAAATTGAAGATCACATATCAGAGTGAAGCAGACTGCTTTACTGATTTAAGTACACTAACCTCATTATAACCCCTTGTGGAACCTGGATAAATGTTTTGGGGTGTGGGTGGGGAGAATTCCGAGAATAGGGTTGGCATTTATAGGATTAAGATAAGAAACAAGTGTCCAATTAAACATTATGTACAGTGTGTTGATCAGTGTTTTTAAATGTTATTTGTAGAAACTGTAAAGAAGTGAAATGGAAGGGAGGGAACACACTTACATGCTAAATATAGCATGCAATAAGAAAAGCAAGAACAATGGTCTTTTATCCAGGCCAGTTTTGTGCAACTGTTCATTGTAAAGGAGTTAGACTACAAAGAAAAAACACTTCAACCTTCCTTATGGGATTACAACAAACAGGGGCTTTGTATAGTGAAGTTAGACTGTGTCAAAGTTAACTGCTCCCCGCCTCTTCCCTTAAGTACTACCTGACACACACGAGGATTCTACTGAAGGGATGCCAGCACTGCGCAGACCCCATTTTCTTTATAGCACAGAAGTTTATCTTACAGCATTAAATTTTGCAGCTACCAACAACAAATAACTGTAATTGCAAATCCTGGTTTTCTTGGTACCCACTTCCATCAACAGACAAAGTTGCACATTGCGTAGATCATTTATGCTCCAGTCCCTAGGGTGTTTTGAAACAGCAAGGCAGATCAAAACACAAATGTTTCATCCTGTGTAACTCTTACGTGGTAGCATGTTTTAGCTCCTCAGTGTTTCTGCTCTGTGTAACGGATGCCTAGCCCCTTCCCCTGCAGTTCAGTCTTCTCTGTCTTTTCCAAGTGTAGCACTGAAGCAAGAGAGAAAGCAACTGATTGAACAATGACTGCCCCTACCCTCCTTTTCCATTGTCTGTTCCCTGGGTCCAGTGGTATCCAGCCAAATCCAAGCAGCTTTTTCTGATGTGGATTTTGTTTCCTCTCAGTTAAAAAACAAACAAACAAAACAAAACAAAAAAGCAAAAACAAAAAGAAACACTACCCATACTTTTCCTCTCCTTGAAGTCAAAGGAATTCTCTGCATTCTTTTCCATAGCCAATGGAAAAAAAAAAAAAAGAGCAGTTATACAGTCCATATTTACAGGACAAACTGATTAGTGAACGAGTAACGACAGCCAAAAACAAGAGGCACGATCCTAATCTAGAACATAAAAGCAGTGTTCAAAACAAAGTGGAGATTCCTTCTGAAGTTCAAACCATGGATTAGTGTTTGTCTGTGCAAACAGTTGCTAAAACTATTTCTGACCGGCAGTCGGCTTTTTATTCCTTTATACAATGGTATTGAGAGAACAGTGGCTGTGACGGCTGCCCGTAAGAGTTTCTGCCGGTGTGTTTTCATTTAGCGGTGTGTCGGGAGGGACAAGAAAGGTGCTGCTGTCAGCAGAGTCTTCCAGCTCCACTGGAGAAGGACCAACTGAGGGAGGAAGCGATCCCTCTGTAAGCTGTGGGGATACATCACAGTTTCCTAGAGATGGAGGACTGCTCTGCACAGTCTGAGAAAGAACTCCATCTGGAAAAGATGAAGAAAGGCAGGATCAGGAGGTGAAGTATGTCATTTCACATTCTCAAATAGATTTACTATCTGTGGTTTCTGGAAGCTCTGAGCTTTTCCCGTCTTTGTATTAATGCACATGACACGGCAAAGGAGGAAAATTATGTAGCAAAAATATAACATTGATATATATAAATAAGACTGATTAGTGCAAGCATCTTACTTATCTTGTGAGATATGCTGCTATGAAATCCGAAATTGGAATCAGTTCTACAGTATGCTAATATCGCAGCTGCAAAACTGAAGAGCGCTGGGTGAATCATTAAAAAGTGGTATTTTTGGTCAAATTTTTTGGCTGTGGGTGGGGGGAGTGGGGAGTGGAGAAGAGGCTGGATATGTTTTGTTTAAAATCTCTTGTACTTGGCATTTATTCTACTCTTTAATACCAATTTCTGCAGACCTAGCTCCAAAAGACCAGAAAAGGTACCAGCATGATGGAAACTATGTACCCCACCCAAGGTAAGACTTTAAAATCAGTAAAGACTAAGAGTTAAGCTGCTCGCAGCATGGACTCCACTTTAATTTCAGTGACTTTTCCAGAAGACAAACAAAACCACACCACAACACCCAAGCTGAATGATACTTCTAACAAAAATCTTTTCCATATGGAAATAGATTTGTATTTTCTCACCACAATCACTAAAATACACGACTATAGTTTTTTGTTTGTTTGTTTTAAATAAAAAATAAAAACAAGGAAAAAAGAAGCTACTTCCTGCATACCTGGAGTGGAACAAAGGATGCTGTCAGGATTGACAGAAGCCTCATAAGGAGGAGGTGGGTCATCTGGATGTTGAATGTCTGGATACTTGTAAGCAGTATAGGGTGGAGGTGGATCATGGAAATGAAACGCTCCCCCTTCCCCGTCATCTGAAAGATGCAGTGGAGTAAGGCCAGTTCCAAAACCATCAGGACCATAATCAAAACCAGGCATCCTGCGGCCCAAGTTAAAGTGGTGCACTATGTCGAGATAAGAGAAAGAAAGGAGGAGTTTATACCACATTTTCTTTTTCAGGTTAAGGCAGATCTCAACACCTTCTTCCACTTTTCACAGCCAAGGAACTCACGTCTCCTGAACACCTAGAAAAGCCTAAATAACCTATACAGGTCAACTCGCTGCAGTTACACAACAAAACCCAAGGCCACCTGCTTCTAGCCTCTTTGTCCTGCACCACAGCTAAATTTGTATCTAAGCTCTTCAAACCAAAGACATCATTCACACACAAGATATTTCAGATTTGGACCACATACAAACAAGTATTCTTCCATTATTGGCTAAGAAGTTTGAAGAACATTCAGGTTTGAAGAAACTACACACAAAGAGGCAGAAATGAGCAAGACCATGATACTTCTCACTTCCACACATCAACAATAAGCATTAAGTGCAAGAGAAGTACGCACTTACTATTTTAAATGAGTGCTTCACAGAAAAAAACTTGTAGAAATCGTGACCCATTCAGGCAGCCAGTACATAGCTACATTTGGGTACAGTACTGACTAGAATTTATTACCAGACTTCCACTGATGTTCTCCACATAGATTTGTATCTCTTCTCTTTTCATCCTGGAGCCCATTTACACTACACACATTTACAGATCAAGACTCACTACAAATACAGGCTACTTACAATTTGCTCCGATCAAAGACTCTATGCGCTCTCTCCGTCTCTGGCGTAGCCGGTGGACCATGAAGAGCAGCAAAGAGAGGATGAGGAAGGATGAAATGCAGCTAACTATCAGACGCATTCCACCAGCCATTGAGTCAAACAAGCTGTTCCCATCTGTTACATAAAATATAGGAAAGAAGCCCGTTACTTATGTTCAAGACTCATTTTTCCTCGATGTTCTTTTGTCAGTAATGGAGAAAAATGCAGAGTCGAGATTCATTAGCCTGGTTTAATGGTTCTCCAGACTTCAGAAGTGTAGAAAAAATGAATCATTAGATGATTTATCTATTTACTGCAAGGAGACTTAAATGCTTCTAAATATGTTACTCAGCAAAAGGCACAAAATATTGAAGGCTTCAGGTCTCTGAAAAAGAGAAAAACAAAGGTTAAGAGTATTTTGTGCATCAACTTGTCTCCCTGGCATGGCTGATGGTCTTGTAGTAAAAGAGAACAGCAAGCCTGGAAGCTATGGGAAAGGTCTGAGAACTGGCATATCTACACAGTATTTCTACGTGACTTTGGGGCATCTTAACTTGTCTATTCCAAACAATAAAATTGCTAAACGTTTTCATTATCACCAAGATGCAGTCATCCAAATTCCATGTGTCATAGGTACCATGGTTATCAACGTTAAATGATAGGAAATAAAAATACCTTAATAAGCTGAATCAACATGATAACCATCTCTCAAAAAATTAAGAGAGATTAAGATAAGAGATGAAGATAAACAGGAATTACGTATTTTCCTAAACTCACTGAAAGCAAGTGGTGCGACACGGAACAGACCCAGGAGCTTAGGGCTTCTAGAGCTCTATGTCAGAGCTAACCAGATCCACATTGGAAGGCTGCTGAGAGCAAATTATCACTGTTCTGTCAGTGCCAGGCACAAGAGGTATTTTTCACAATTCAACTAATCGGGCTTAAAGTAGCCTGCAAACAGACAGACACTCCACAGAAAAACAGACAGAAGTGACTGTGCTGTTCTCTTTGCCCGAATTTCCTGTTAAAGAGCTCTGATCAAGAAAGGAACTGAGGTTAGATGTGGCTAAGCAGAAGAAGCAGCTGCACAACCTGGTTGTGACGGTTACACAACGCTAGAGAACACAAGCAGCACCAAGTATGAACCCCGTGCCCAGCCAGTACAGCACCACACCAACACACTTGGCAGAGCAGCCAGCCCCTGGCCCCTCTCCTTCCTTTCCTGCACCCACCACAGCTGCAAGAGCTCTCAGTACCTTCCCTTCCACTGAGCAGCAAAATCTGCACCAACGATTCCTTACAGAACACAAGAAGCCTCACAAAAACTGTAAATACCAATTTGCTACAAATGCTAGGAATAGAAAAAGCCACCTTATTTAGGCATTGCTAGAAGTACACGGCTAACACGGCTGATTTATTACCTAACCCATTCCCGAGTAATTCATTTAATAGTGCACTATGCATAGAACTCCAACGTAACACCCTCTCAAATCTGGCTGTGCAGTACAAAAGCCTCTGTGCTGTCAAATCTTTTAGCAGCTCTCCCTGTCAGAGCTCGAACTGATGCAGTCACACAGCAGCAGTACCCAACCAACACCCCCTCCAACAGCACGGACCTGCCGGCGTTCCTCCTCCATGTTATGGCAACGCTGACTTTGTGGCCACTAGAAATTAGTTCTAAGAGTTGCCTTAAATAAAAGGACTTCAGTAAAACACAGACACAGTGAAGCATGATGTAAACTTGTAGTCGGAATGCCTGGCACTGCCTCTTCCACATATTCTCTTCAGACCAGCTAAAAGTGCAAATTTTGGGCCTGCTGGGGAGGCTGGGCCGCTTTCGTACTGCTCCCAGCCTCTGACAGCTCCTACCACTCAACCTGCTCAGCTGGATAAACTATTGTAAAGCCCTAGATTAAAGTAAAAAGAAAAAAAAAGAGACAGAGACCCAGCTTGTACAGAACAAGATGAGCCATCACAGATTTTCAACCTACATAAACAGGAATGGATTATTTCAGAAAGGCAGTTTTACACTCAGGGCAGCAGTAACATCCTGTAACTGTCCCAATTTAGTCACTAGAGAAGCTTCTCTATCACCAGCCCTTTCAAATATTTTATTTCTTTCAACTCCATTTCACAAGTGAGAGTTCCAGATCTGTACAAACAAGAACCCCACGAAACAACAGGAGTCCCACATCCTTGAAGAGGCAATTGACAAATGACTTCAGTTTCAGCATTAGTACACAAAAGATTTTCATGTGCTATTTATCTTCAACTAAATGAGAAGCATCTTTCAAGATAGTACAGCTGGGATTGCTCAGCTTACTCCTACCACTGAAAAATTCCCCTACTACCAAGTCCTTGAGTAATATTCTTTATCCACTTGTAATCGTTGCTCACCCACTCACACAACACGAGCTGATTACCTGCCAACCCAACAGCGGGATTTATTTCCCCCCAGTCTCTCCTTGGGTGATGAATTCACTTACCCTTGATTAGTAAAACAGTTTTCTTTCCTTTGCAACAAAGCTTAGAGGAGATATATGTAAGAATTGGACAAAGATAAATACATGCTGATTAAAGAAAGTAATTCATTAATTTTGTCAGCTGGAATTGTCATTTATCAACACCCAGAACAAAAACTGAAGTGTGTCATCTCAAAATGTCAGTGTTCATCGTTAGCTGAAGTAACTTTATTATGAAGTCAGGCAACTGCTTGATGATTCTGCTCTCAAAAACCAAGTTACTAAAAAACCAGAACACTTCAGACAAGAGTGTAATGAAACAGTCTTATATAGCATCAGTACAGGAAGAAGAGCTTAGGGATCAGAAAGGATGTGATAAAATACAGTCTTCAAATCAGTATTCATGAAATAGTTAAGACCCACAGTATAAGCAAGGATTAAAGAACATTGAGTGAGGTTATCCCAGGTCGTCTTATCCTGTCTGTTGGATGATGCCTTGCTGACACTGTTCCTGAAGATTAAAAAAAAAAAAAAAAAAAAAAAAGACAGCGAAAACAGTCTTAACTCTGCTGATAAGAGTAGGAGGAAGACTTCTGCTTTTTCACCCCTGACTCTCCCCAATCAACCTGCAACACCAGTTCCAAACATCTGTTAAGCTTAGCTGTCAGAATGGATGTAAGTGACAGCAAGGAGGGATCGGGGCCTTTAATCATTAACTCATGCAGATAAGACACAAAAAAGAACGATCACAAGTTTGGATGTCAATAAGCACCCCTTTTTTTAATAGGCTGAAATGGAAGCCTCTGATGGGAAGACTTGACCTGTGTTTTCCATATTGGAAGGATCTGAACAATAGTTTCTTGGTGCACTCAGATAAGATCAGTTTTTTTTAAAATATCAGGAAATCACAGAATGGTTGATGTTGGAAGGGACCTCTTGAGACCACCCAGTCCAAACCTTGCTCAAGCAGCATCAGTTTGAGCAGGCTGTTCAGGACTGTGTCCAGTCAGACTTCAAATATCCCCCCAGATGAAGACTCTACAACCTATCTGTTCCAGTATTTGACCACCCTCATGGCAAATGCTAAATAAATTTATTTTTGCAAGTCTCTTTACACAAGAAATAACATCCCCAAAAGGCCACTGACCAAACACTATACAGAAGACCCCTAAGACTTCACTGATCCAAAACAAGAGGCTGCACTAAGATGCCAAATTCAATATCAAGGTTGCATGCCCTGATGATTAAAATTCCATATAATTTGAAGACAGTGCTTTCTATCTGATCCCTGCATGCAAACTTCCACACATAAACGCTCATGTCCAGAAAAAGATACTTAATTAGTGCTCAAGAGAAATGTCTTTTCCTTTCTATGACAGCTAAACATCACAAAGAAACCACGCAAGATGCTCTATTAGAAATCAACGATGCTGTCAGCCTCCACAGAGGAGACAAGTTACTGCTCTTCACTAAGTAGCACCAAGGATGACTAATTATTTCCAGCAACAGACTGAAGTTTTTCATTTCCTGTGATGTGGGATTTTTCCCCAGATGGGGTTAGTACCCAGCAGTGTCAAGGCACTGAAAGGATGCACCACTTCAAACAAAGTTATACCCCAAAACAACCGAGCTTTGCAGTAATTTTGCTGCATAAAACCACAATAGTCAAGTCTTACCTGGGTCTAAACAAGTAAATTTGCAGCACTCCTTCGGATCTTTGCGGTACTGCTGACATCCCTGTGGCCGTTCACACAGAGCAGCCACACACATCTCAGGTTCACCGTTATGACACGTGCAGCTCAGACAGGGATCATCCCCTTTTGGAGTGAAATAGTAGCCTTCATCAACAATGTTGTCTTTGATATCGACGCAAGTCTGGCCTAGAACAGAAATGCACATCAATATCCAAGTGTCTATGAGCCTGCCAGACAAGCCTGGTTTGATCTATTACAAAACATGATTTGAAAACATAAGCAGATGATCAGTTAAAAGTCACGCTTCTACACGAAAATAGCTTTTAGAAGGGATCTCCAAGGAGCGGGGAAGATAAATGGATCGTCTGGAGATGTGCGGGGATGATATACTACTCAAACTTGACAAAGTGAATGTTAAGTATTTAATAGAATTGACGTGCTTCCAGGTGTCCTCTCCAGGACTCAGAGAAAAACAAGCAGTCTGAGGACAGCCTTCAGCATCACGCCTGCTGCACCTCCCCCTCTGCCTCCTGGCACTTAGGAAAAGCCGGGACTTCTCTGAACCAAGCTGCAGGGCACTCTCAACAGGTCAGGCCCAAAAAAGAGAGCCAGGCAATAGCAATACCACTGCCTTAGCTGCACCTTAATCCCTGCACAGTGGATGAAGCTTAGATGTCTTCAGCTCACCATCCTTTCCTCCCACAGACCTGAAAGGGAGGTACCAAACCAGAGAGGGCGCAGACAGCTGGGGGACCTACCAGCCTGCAGCGACTGCTTGGGGAGGGTGGTGAGTCCCCCCCACCCAAAGCAGAGCTCAGCTGCGAGGGTTTACAGGAAAAATCAGACTAGAAGAGACCTTAATAGGTCTCTAGTTCGATGCAGGATCACCTATGAGGGAAGTCCCACTTTGCTGATGAGTATTTTATCCAGTATGATCATTTTCCCTGACATCAGTTCAAGCCTTGTTTTAACTTTTGTTCCTCGTCTCCTGTCACACACCCATAGCCTGACTCTGTCTCCTTGATCACCTCCTTGTAGCTACTGGCTGGCTGCTGTCAGGTCCCCTCGGATCATTCCCTTCTGCAGGCTGGAGGTGCCTCATTTCCTCCACCTCAAAGCACTGGTGCACCAGAGCCCCCAGCACCATCTTGGTGGCCCTCACTGAACTCACCTCAATTTGGCAAGGTCTTGTCAGTGCCCTTCTCGTGCTGGGGGTCCCTGAAACTGTACACAGAATTCTTCTGCTCAACTTCTACATCTTATCTTTTTCCCCCTTACCCTTCAGTTAACGATCTGGCAGAGCTACTGCTTTCCTCACGACACCACTCTGAGGAGATGACCAAAAAGGTCATGTTTTGACTACATAAATGGCCTTCAATTCACATTCCAGAAGTTTATCACATCAAAGTAGACATCGCAATAGCCTGTCTTACTAATTTTCAATATTTCCAGTGAAAAAACAGGCAGAGAAGGGCTGAATTTTCCTCCCTTAACATTTTTGTAAATCTTTATCCTGCTTTCAAGAAAAAGCAAACACAAAACACTTTAAGAACCACAGTAAAAGTTCAACACTACATGTATTAATTTATATATATATATATTTTTTTTATTTTTTATTTTTTTACAAGGAATTATCATTTATATCAGGTATCTTGAATGTTACCTGAAAATACTGCTAAAAAGTATTTCCTTTCTCTTAGTTTAATGCCTTTTGGCATACGGGCATGCATGATACAGAATGGGAGCCATTTTTTCCACTTTAAGTCAGAAGCTACACTTGCTTTTTTCCCCATGCCCCACAGTTCTAAGAATTGGTTGGAGAGAATTTAATGGAAGTTGCTTTATTCAAAATAAACCACCAATAAAAATTTGCTTCATGTAAAATGAAGAAACAACTTGAGTGATATTTACTAATAAGGCTTAACTGTACTGTGGCTGATAACCACCCATTGCGATGCTCCTGTTTAAACAAAGCCAAACTCTCCCTTCTTTTTCCTCCTTTTTTAATTTACTGGGGAAAAGTAGAAAGATAGCCATCAGATTTCCAATATTTGTTATATGCTTATTTAAACTTGCAAGACAGTTAACACCGAACCAAATCCAACTTACTCCTTTTGCAGAGGAATGACGACTTCTCGTAGCAGTTTTCAGCATACCAGCTGTGTAAACCGTGGTGCCGAAGGGTAGGAAAATGGAAACACTGAAGCTGGGCACAAAGAACGTTTTCATTTTCAGACATAGCCGTACCAAAGATAGGGTCAGGGGGTAAAAATACTTCTGAAGAGCCTAGAACAAGATGCATTGGTGTAAGCAGCCTGCGGGTATGCAGAGCTTTAGAAAGGCTCTGTAATGTCACTCATTGCACGCACACCACATCTCCTACAAGGCTACTGTCCTCCAGCTTTAGCTTCCATTAGCAGCACTCCTCTGGGGGAAGGCGAGGAGTGGGGAGGGAAGGGGTGAGTCACAGAGAGGAGAGGCTGCTGTTGTCAGAGAACCGTGTAATTCTGACATTCTGCTACAGTAGGAGCGTGTTCTGCTATCTACAAATGCTTCTTTCCAGCGTCCCATGGGGTTTGCCTGCCAATTCTTATGCACCCCGTCAAACAGTGAAGGGTTTGAACATGCTAAGGAGAAATGAAGCAGTAACCAGTACACCTGAAGGTCTGGCCAAACACTAGTGTAGCAGGAACCTATACACATCTCACACCTGGTACTCCAAGCACCTACCGGTGCTTCCAGTCCCTCATCCACCTGCGCAGCACACTGCAGAGCTGCTCCCCCACAGCCCACATTGCTGGTTTGGAGCGCAGTGCAGAACAGGGCTGTGCTGCAGTGCCCCTCCTGCTGCTGCCGTGGGGATATAGGTACGCTTTGGTCCTCCACGCAACTGGTAACAGATTGCATGGCATGGGTTCCAACGAGTGGGGACTTAGCATCGAGTTATTTTTCCCATTGCAGGGCATGGAAAAAGTATTAAGGGTATTGTATAACTACAAATTTTGCTTCTGACCAGCACCTTAGTGTTAAATTAGTCAGTCTTCAAAATTGCAGAGATTAACAAGAAGCCAAAATACAGCAATTGTGAAAATTAGATTATTTGATACATCTTTAGAAGCCTGCTTTCTAACTCTGTGCTTAAACATTGACTTCAGCAGCTCCTGCAGTTAGCATATTAAGCAGCCTAGTCACACGATGGTCCTTTCAAACACATCAGACAAGTCTGATAATTAACACAATTAAGCTCTCCCATCATTTTCTGAGGGTTTAACTTCCACATCTCCCGATGATAGATTAAAATTTTCAAGCTATAGGACCTTAAATCACTTCTCAAACAGATACTAGGAATTCACAGTCTACCTCACTACAAGTCAGTGGAACTTTTATAAAATCTTTCAGAAGCTACTGAACGCTAATATGTACTTTGCTTCATAGAGGTATGTTTTTATTAAATAGAAGACTTGCAAGCAAAAAAAAGACTTGCAAATACAGTGTTGGAAAGGTTTACATTCATATAATGAATCAAGTTGAAGACAATTTATGATATAAAGACATCACGATTCCCTGTAATTTATGCCTCCCTAGTCATAACACTTGGTCAGCAGATGGCAGTGCAGTCAACCTTCTGAAGAGCAAAGAAAGGTCCTTTTAAGGAGAATTGTTTTTTTTTCCCCTTGGAGTTTATAGGAGAAGCCTACCTGTATAAACAGCTTTGTCCAGATGAGGAATAGCTAACCCTTATGAGACGAAGTTGGAACTTCCTCCCTGCCCTCTTCCTGTTGTCAGAAGGCATCTTTAGGTGCCTTACTTCAAGGAACTAATGGAAATGTTCCTGCCTCCACAAGAAGGAGCAATTTCTTCTGAATACCTAGCCAAATCTGCTTACTTAAATTACAAAATAAATCAATACTTTTGCACATGGCAGAAAGGTAAAACAAGTCCCATCACTGGAAACCTATGCAGGTTCAATCCCTTCTCATGCATCAAAAGTAGTATTTTGCAAGATCTAACTGTTCCACAAAATTCTGCTGTTAATTATCTATCTGGACATAATGGACAGTTATCCTTGTAAATTCTCTGTTACTGAAAATTGTATATGAGAAGAAAACTACTCTGGATTAGCTTTCAAACGCCCCCTGGAATTCACAGTGCTGATGTGTAAAAACCTGTTTGTTTTTTTTTCCCTTGACCTGTATCAGCACAGAATTTAGACATTCAATTCTACACATATGAGTTCGTATGACTGAGACAAATGAATCACTCACCTGAAATAGGTAAAAATAAAAAGAATAAAAACATGTCTTTGCATTTGCAGCAGAGGGAGCTGCTTCTTTTGCCATTGAAAATGTTCAGCCAGAGATGCCTATCAGATTAAAGCTTGATTCTCCATAAAAATAGTTACTAATTTTGGGCTAAGGTAAACTTTCTTATTGTTTTAAGTAAACTGCCTGCATTATTTCGGGGTGCAAAAAACTCTGGGTAATTCTGCAAAATAAGATAACTGAAAAGCATATAAAAACCTATTAAAGTTAAAAAACAAATCCTATACTAGTTTGCGCAAATACTAGAATCAGGAATCAGCAGTTAATCTAGACATTTACCAGAAGGAATGAGAAACTACAGAGTAGTTTCTTTTGCTCAGCTTAATCATGGGGAAAATCCAAACAAACTTAAAAAACACATTCCTTCCACAATAAATCACTGAAAAGTCATGAAATTTCTTACACTTGAAAATTAGGCATGTGTATTAAAATACTCCTGTTTTCATACTGTAAAGCAAAACAGTTCCTCTACAGCATTTCAACACCATCAGTGAAAGAAACGATGTTCTTGCAGATAATATCCATGCTTTAAGATAGTTAAAAGGACCACGGAAACCAAGTAATAATTTGAGAAGCCTACCTTTATAAGCTACTTCCCAGTGGCCTTCTAGGGAGTGATTTCGATTTGTGATCACATACTGATATCCAACCCAGAACCTGCAAAAAAATCTGTTAGATTCTAAAAACACAAACCCGAAAAATACCAAGATATTGAAATACGTTACAAATTAAAATACAAACCTTACAATATCTTGAAAATTAACTTTGAAAACATTCTGATGACCTTTTCCTTAAAATTTTAGCACATATGTTGGGCAAAGTAGAAAGAGAGACTACAGCTGAGGGATAAAGGAAAATACTTGATAGTTTTCTATGTTTACAAATTGCTCACTATGCCTTTTATTTCCATGCATAAGCAGCACCTTGTTCTGTTGTTATAACAGCACTACAGTATCGAACTCAAAAACCACACAAAAGCATCCAGAACTCAAATATTTTATAAACATACACAACTGATGTCAGACACGGTTCAGGATCAAAACATGTAAGTCTCCAGAGACAGAGATACATATTACCGAACCACTGCTGGTGGGTGATCTATCAGCATGGCAGCCCACGAGACTGACGAAAAACCCACAGGCAAAAAAACCCAAGGAATTATGTTTGCTGTGAACTCACAGAATGAAATATCTCAAGTCACCAAAACACAGTTCTTACAATTCATGTTTTTTTTCCACTTCGTTCTTGTCTCAAACTTGCAGTCTTTGTCAAAGCTACTGGTACTTAATGGAAACAAAAACTGTGTTGAAAAATTTAAAGAAATAATATTTCTATACAACGTAGTGCTGCAGTAAGTCAGTGTAAAATTCATCTTCCCTGTTGGAGTTCAAGAATACTACTATGCTGCTGAGACAACCTGAAAATAAAGACTACATTAAATTGTAGCCTGTTAATTTAGTAATGTTAATTAAAACAGAAAATACAGAGATGGCTGCTCTTAAACGCTTTCACAAGGTTATCAGCCTGTAGTCAATTTTACCACTAGATTTTATAGGCAAACTGAACTACCAGCAACTATACTGTGCAGAAACCATTCTCATGTAATGGGGGAGATCTGTCCTTTACTTCCTACTCACCTACGTTGGTCCTTCCTTACAAATGTCTTTTCTTCCAAGTCCCACTCCTGTGCCAGGATAAATCGTAGCTCCTGGTCTGCAGTGAAGGTTGCGAGGGATCCATTCACCCGCTGACATGTCTGCACGGCGTCCCAGTAGTTCTCCCCGTTTAAATACACTCTGTAACAGCTAGCTGTGCCCTCGTAGTGGTGCCACCCTGTTGGGCACTTTCCTAGGAAACATGAAGAATAGAAGGGAAACCATTCCCCCCAAATTAGGATCTTCCAGGTAACACGTCCTAATCAGCTTATGACAATGCAATGTGTAATCACTTGGATGCATGTACACAACACACCACGTGTAATTTACCTCACCAGTAGGAGATGCATGCATTACAGATCACAGGAGACTTCCTTTACTAGTGCTTTTGACAAAGGATTTTCTTTTAATGCACTGAAAAACTCTTAGTGATGTTTCCCTGCACTGTGACAGCCTTTAAATTCTTTAATTAAGACTGATGATCTACAGTGGAAGGTTTTCCCTGAACAGCTTTATAAATCCAATCAGTTGGATCAATGCTAGTCACAACAAGCTGCAAGAAGCAGGAAGGATAAACCAGAGGTGGCCAACATAACGATCACATCTTTCTATTAGGTGGTTAGCAGTATGCCCAACTTACTCTGAGGATTTCAACCTTATTTTACAAACAAGCTCAGTAGTATTCACATGGTGAGTGCATGGTCACTCACTAAAGGTGATGGGATGGGGGTTTTGGGGCAATGGTGGTTTGCTCTAGAAAAATGTCACTGCACAGAACATCCTTAGAAATTAGGCAGGTGATGGTATGAACTGTAGTCTCTGCTTTCTCAATTAACTAAATTGAAGAAATACACAAAAAAAATCCTCGAGGCATTTCTGGATGAAACAGACCCAAGGGCTTTTGATGACTGACATTCTTGGAGGTGATACGTAACTAATAGAAACAGACGTGAAATATGATTTTAACTCCTGCATTTGCAGAATTAATTTTGCATGACACCTAAGAAAGTAACTTTAAATTCATAAACTGTTTTATGTTTGTTGCAAGCATTCAAAGAGATCTTGTTCTCAAGACTAGGAACTCCCTTCAGAAACAGTGATCTTTACCATAAAATAGTGACACATTTACATTTGAATTCCTTTAGATATCTTCCTTAGGTCTACTGGTCACATCACTGGGATGGGACAGAATACAACATGAGTATTATAGATATTGCTGAATCAATTTCTAAGTTGTTTTATTGTCCTCTACAAATTTGTTTAACAAGTTAGCTACTGCAGTAAATACCGGAATCAAAGTACCTATTTTAATAAGCCCCCTCCCCCCTCCCAGAAAAGAGGTAATTTTTTACTTGTGCTAATCACTTGACTTTTTCAGACTCCTGCCATATCTTCTCTGCATGTCCCCTTCCTAGTGTGCCCCATCCCTCCCTCCAAGCATGATCAGTGCTGTCTCATTCCCAAATCACTGGATGATCCAAGGAGCAAAAAAGAAGAAGACCAGAAAGAGGCAGCAAGGGAGACTGATGCATTGGACCTAAAGAAATTCAAAGGCAGCAGTCACTATGAGCTACAATCAGTAAGAAGGACAGTTACGGAACATTTATAAATTTAGATAAGGCTTGTACCAGGATGCAGAAAGCATCGCCAGCAGTGATTCAGGTAAAAGGGCAGGATGATATTGGAGTGGTATTTTTGAAGGTTCCCAACTAACACTCGGAAGTAACAAGGAAAAAAACATTCAGGTCCTACACTCTTCCTTGATAGTTCCTTCATAGACTTTTTCCTTCAGAGAAGCAAGAAGGAAAGAATTTCCCTAAGTTCCCCACTTCCTAAAGAACATTATTCCTTCTTAAAAAGGGTACAAAACTCACAACATCAGATATGTACTTAGTTTACTAAGGATACTGCAACTTCTTCTAAGATCATCTTCTAAATGACTTAAATCAAAAGCAATCAATTTTGTTTTTCCCTACTTTCCAGGGGAAAACTGCAAACTCACATCAAGAGACAGATGACAGATTATCATGCCTGCTGAAGGATGAAACCATCACTTAACTCATCACAATTACAGAAAACCAGGCCCACAGTTCATAAATGAAAAACACAATTTCAGTTGCACAAAAGTAGTGTTACAAAGGAAGCTGGATTCTTCATATGTATCAGCCTGCTATATAAACTGTGCAACACCACAGCACACACATAAAGGAAGTGTGCAAAAACCTTCAGGAGTACTTCATTTAAGCAAAGACTGGTCTAAAAGCCACGCAAGAGAAAATCTATTAATTTCTCCTTAAGAGAACAATTAATCTAAATTGCTAAGCTAATTAGTAGAAAGATAGGCCAGATTTCCCAGGCTGCAACTTACTGCTAAATCGGACAGGCTGTGCCACATTGACAGTGTGAAAGCGGGTCGTCTCTCCTCCCCTCCCTCGATTATGCCTGGCGTCCACATTCTCCTTCCCATGGTAAGTTCGCTGGTCCCCTGTCAAGCCTGAAGAGAAGGAATAGTCAGTACCAGTGAAAAATGCAGGAAAAAGCAGATTTGATTTTACTAAACTGTCTACGGGCTTTAATTCAATACAAATATATGATACATAATACAGGCAGGTAAATTAAGACGGCCAGGCTGTTACTGCCAGGATCTACCATTTTACATGGCTCATAACAAAAATAATTGCAGTTGAAAAGAACCAACAAGCCATTACATGAATCTTGCAAAGTAAGATAAATATTTTGGCAGATTTTCAACAACTGCAGTTGTGCACAGAACCTGATACTTGTCATTTCAGTTGCTGCAGCAAATGCATCATTCCCAGTGCATTTTGTCTGTTCTTGTTTACAGAACTACCCACTCTCCAGCTGCTCAGTTTCTCAGTTGTGTGTTCAAAGATACAAGACAACTTCTCCAATATGTTTTCCAACGCATTCTCTGAGATCTAGGGCAAAATCAAAACCAGGAAAGAAAGTCCATCCTTGGCCAGAAGAATTGGGCTTTTCATTCCTTCTCAGGCTTTCTAAAGGAAACGTTTGCTCATTATTTCTGAAACAAAAAACACACACACCCTAATCTGGGTGTCGGGGCTTCTGAATGGATGCATGAGATAAATGGATTCAAGAGGTTATGAAAACACAATGCAGAATGTAATCCGCAAAAGGGGCACAGGTTAGGTGCAGACACTGCCAGCAAAACTATAAGCAGTAAGGCTAGAAGGATAGTGGGCAGAAACCCTTGAGAAAAGGCAGATGAATACCAGAGTTCCATCTGGAAACAAGGAATTAACCTAAAATCAGAAAAAAAGAACCCAACAATGCAAGCATTAGAAATACCTACTTGTATGTCATGTAATACCGCCAGCTGGTATTTGAGCTAATAGACTTGCACAGCACAAAGAGCTACATAGGCATATATTTCTGTATATAAAAAAAATCAGCTTATTTCCCTTTAAAGCTGATTAGCTCTATTTACACTAGCTAAACCAAATACACCAGCCATGGTCCAAAATAGAGAGCAGCTACATAGACTTCTTCAACAGCTTTAATTACATCTGTTTGAAATATATTCAAAATGATGTGAATCAAGCTTTCTCCACTAACTTGAAAAAAATCAAGACATCCAGAGCAATTTCACGATCATTTAAACCCTCAGCTGGAGGCTGCCTGGGGTGTTACCTGGGGGAAAGGCCTCCAGAAGACCCTCCATCAAACAAGGTGCTCCTTGGGACCAACTGCACCAATGACCAAAACCAAAAAATCTCAAGGAGCAGCCTAGGAACAGCAGAGTAGCTCTGCATTCAAGTGGCTCTAGCATACTGAGTTTGCCCCAAGTTAATGGAATGAGCAAGGATATTTAATTACCAGGTCACCCTAGGAATTACGTGCCTATAGAGATCACCCATTAAAAACTGGCTCTGTGTGATACACTCACATGGCCTCACAGGAACGAGGCAGTAATTCCAATATTCCAAATTAGAATGCGCTACGTATCACAGGAAAGAAGGTAGTGCCAAGAAATTCAGTGAGCGTACATTTCAAAGGACACAAAATGGTAAAATAATTTGACAATGAAGATCATGGATTATTTTCATTCCTTTAAAGGCCAAACTATTTTTAGTTTTAGAATTTGCCTGCAGTTAATCCTAATGTTGCAGTAGCATTATTTACACTATGATCATCAGAGTGATACTAATACATTAAAAAAGCAAATCTTTAATTAGTGTTATTTTTTAAAGTCTTAATATCATTAATGTAGAATACTTTATCAGAGATGAACTGAGTTCAGCACCGGGAAGCCCTATTTTCCCATGGCATTAAATGGTAACATCTAAAGAGAAAGAACCAGTTGGAACCAAACAGAAGAAGAATTAGTTCCCTTGGAGAAGTGAGAGCAGATGCAGCACCATATGGCTGACCCTCCACGGCTAAACAGAACGCCCACGAGTACTTAACAATTTAACTCCCCTGGGAATAAAAGAGAAGTTCGCGGGTTTTAATACGCAAGGGTTAAGAACGGGTTACTCACGCTAACATCAAATTGACAGAATTTATACCAAATGCTTTGAGAAAAAGCTACACGGATCGCACAAAGGCAGCTTGCCCAGTCACCACCCGAAGCAGGACATCCCCTCCTTCCTTCCCCGGCGTCAGCAGCCCTGCCACCAAAACACGCAGGACTCGAGAGGCAAAAAGCAGCCACCGCGAGTTCTCCTTCGAGCCCAATGCTGTCAGTCACTTAATAAATCGGAGCTCTTCAAATAGAAAATTGCTTCTATTTGACCTGAATTTTCTGTCTTTGAGAAAAGCAAAGATGACAAGTTTTTCCAGGGCAATAAAGAAAGAGCATGCTAACGAGCCTGTAAATTACTCGACTGTCATGAAAAGCAGTTGCAGATTCTAGTGGCAAAGGTGTAATTGGGCTGGTTTTCTATTGTGCCATTTCAATACTCTGCAGAAGAATTTTCTTTGTATGCTGCTGTTCTGCTTTATTAACAATATTTATATCTTTAAATACAAATTAATAGTGCCATGGACTGAGCTTAAGGATAACAACTTGAGCCAGAAGACCAAAACCTACGTTTCAGTATTTCAAAAAGGCAAAACAATGATTCTTAGTGCCTACGTGCACATTTAATACTCTGAAAGCTATCCAGTTGGGGAAGATGAGCTATTTCCCACATCCTTTATTTTCTAGATCCTACCACCACAAGAAATAACAGCAACAGCAGCATTCTTACTAGCCAAGACAAACAGCTTTAAATTTTCTTTGGTTCCATACAATTATGCTAGAAATGTGATTTGCTTGTTAGTTGGTGGGCAAAGGGGAAAAACAGGTTCAAGGGAAGATTCATGGGGTGCAATTTCTCTTTTCCCCTTGTAAACTGTAGCACGCCTGACAGGAACATCCTCCAAACTGCTTCCAAATGGATCAAGTCATGATTAGTATTCATGCAGCTCCTTCCAATTTACAAACAGTTGCTAATTCACTCTAGCATGTTTACAGACTGAGTAATAGTAGCACACATCAGGAAAGTCACCCAACACGTCTGATGACATGACTCTCTTCAGTTGTTTAAAACTTCAAGCTACCAATTTAGAATGAGAGTTTGCCAGGCTGGATGGCTCCTACTGCATCTTCTATGGGTAATCTTTTTCAGGTCTGAGTCAATACTGTTCGAAAATTTTTCAGAACAGAAGTGAAGAGTCTGGAAGGGGAAGATGCTTTGCTTCCACTTCTGAATACCTTTTAGTTGAACAAGCGTTGTCACTGCTGATGGTAAAACACAGCCCTGACAGCTCACAGGAAGTTTTCTTGTGCGCACAAGTTTTACTGTTCCTCATGGAGAGAGTGGGAAAAATTGAAGGGGACAAATGCTGTCAGGTTTAGGTCAGAAACAGATAAAACAAAATAATTTGCCCATTATTCATAGAAGCTGGAGATAATTCAGTTAAATTACCCACAGTCTTTACCATACATCCACGGAGACTGCTCTGCAGCATTACCCACAGGATCTCCTGTCAGTGCTTTGCCCGTGGTGCCTCGTTTGCAGAAGGAAGCACACAAGCAGCACAGAAAGCTCCTTTTCCGTACCCCTCGGTGCCTCCATCACTCAGGCCACGTGAAAGGAAGCGAAAAGCCGAGTGGTGCAAATGGCACGGGAGCCGAGGAGCTGAGAGCACACAAAAGCGAGAGCTGGCACCAGCTGAGACAGGAGCAGGCTCGACCATGGGCATGCTGAGCCGCGCTGCATGGGGGAACAAACATGACACCGAGTGGGAAACTGCTCCGAGGGGCTACAGGAGAAGCTGCAATCTGCCACACGGACCAGTCTGCTTTGCATCACAGAAACGGGCAGACGGCACAGGCTGACTGTCAGAGGCTGAAAGAGGCGCTTGCAGGGTCAGGACTCACACAGGGGGCGAACGCTGGGATTTGGGGAGTTGAATGTGTTCCCAGAGTTACCGTGCCACAGCAAACACGTCACTTGAGCCAAACACTTCACAGGGATGGATGCAGTGTGAAGACTGTCTGGTTTGTGGAAGTGCTAAGCTACGACACCTGCAATTAAATTCAACAGGAGCACCTGAAGCACAGGACATGCTACCTGGCACCGAGCACTCAGGAAGTCAGGCTCCTGACATCTCATTTGGGACACTCCAAACACTTGGCCTCAAATCTTTGCATTTCCGTCATAAATGGGGAACCCTCCCACATCTCTCCATTCAAATTATGTCCAAAAGAGATTGTTTATGAGACTACCAGGTCTTGTGATACCTTATTTGTTCTAAGATTTGAGTTACTCCTGTTTAAACACGGACTCTCAAAACATACATATGAATGCTGCCTTGTCCCCTAAGCCTCAAATTTTCTGTCTAGCGTATTACCCACTAAACCTTCAGAAAGCTTTTAATTTAATCTGGTAATTTGAGAGGTGATAGAGTTTCTGGATTAAATCCAACTTCATGTCTAAAGATTTGGAAACATAGTTCAGGCGTCTCCAGGGAGGGGTGATTGTTGTCAGGTCTGGCAGCTCCACGCTTTGCATTACCCCTTGTGTGAGGCTGGGAAATCGATGCTAACCAAGACCAGCATCCTGCTGAGCTGAGCACCAGTCAAACAAACAGATCGCCTGGCAGTGAGGAGCTCAGCACATAAACACCTCAAAGCAGGGTAAAAACAATGCATCTCCTTGGAGTTTGGTAAGGGTTCAGAAAAGATGTGTGCTTGATCACAGGCATTTTGTCATTTAGTTTTAAAAAATGGAAAAAAGGAGACGTACTAAAAAGTACACAAAGGTCAACAGTTTAAAGACTGCAAATCTCTGTACGTAGTAGTTCATGAAGTATGCACAAACAGTCAAATTAAAGGAAATGCAAGACTAATCAACGGAAATGCTTTTCCCAACATATCATTAGGCAAGGAAGAATAGGGTTGAAACCATTTTGAAAGGAATATTTAGCTTCCTGTCACACAAGGCAAAATGACAATTAGGTGATAGTGGAAGATGAACACATTATATCAACCACCTACGCTGAAGCCATCTGCGTTCCTCTAAAACTTTTGGTTGTAGATACTGCCCAGAACTGGAAGAATCTTGTCCTCATCCAGCCTAGAAGCTCTTGAGGGTAAAGTAAAAGAAAATGGTAAATAGGAAGAACAAGACAGAGGGTGAAGGTGGCGTATGGCTGGGGAAGTGATAGTTCAGTCACTTCACACCACTCACAAAATACCCTTGGCAAAATGAAACAGAAAGCTGATAATGATCACTGCCAGAGTGTGCCACAGCTGCTGCTTCTTCAGTTACTGGCCATACCTTCAGCTGGCTCCACAAAGGGGACTTTCCAGATCCAAAAATGATACAGCATGCAAGCACTAGCACAACCAACCTCCAAATCAACACATTCTTCCTAGTAGGGTGTCTGTAGAAGTCCTTCAGAACAGTATGAAAGATGACATTGCTTTACAGTTAAATTTCCTAAAAAGATTGGTTCTGTATGAAATCAGGCTCCCGATCTCAACCCCAAAACATGTAATATCTTACTGGTGAACATGGGACTGCAGAGCAGCTGCTCGTGCTACTTCCTCTAGCAACTACTGCCCCAGCCCCGCAGCCTGTCCAGATGGGTTTGTAGCCTCAGGCTCTGGGGAAAAGAAGAATTCAGCTCATTGAAACTTTGCTGCATTTGGGCCCCTGACCAAGCAGGTCCAGAAAACAGCACCAAGAAATACCTAATAAAGGAAGAATATGGCATGAGGCAAGGCTTTGTGCTACAGAGCTAGCTGAAAGGAAAAGCCTAAGGACAGCTGACAGCACAGTCTTATCACTTATTCCTGGGAACAGTTCTATTTAAAAATATGAAGGAAACAGAACAATCACCAATATAATTGCAAGATAAAAAATTGCTGTGGACGGGATTTGCAAAAAGCATGAGAATTTATGACATCAATTCTCTGTTCATACGCAACAGATACAAGCACCTAGCCTGTAGTATAAAAATAAAGCAGGTGAACAGCCAGAGCTACACTAAACCCTGCTCTACTTGGGCTGCTGACAGTGAGTTTTGTTTAACCAGAAAGCCTACAGAGAGGGCAGGATATTTAGAGAAGTTGGTCTGATATTTTGGCAGAAACAAAACTGGAAATCCAATGAGCAGTAAAAAGGCAAACTGCAGAGCCCTTCCTTCCTGTGGGTTCAAACATGAACTCCTGTAAAGGTAGAAGTTATGTTATTACTTCAATTTCTTGTGTAGAACGGTAAAGAGGAAATGAGTAGGAATAATAAATCCCTATTTGTAAGAAATGCCTGTTTCTACCATTTCACAGAATATACCACCTTGGGATACATTATTTTTAGGAACAATTACAGTTGATATGGAACAGTACACAGATTTCATGAGTCTCCACTGCTCAAGTAGAATAGAGTTACAGACACATGCAGCATAAATCCTCCCAACAATTTTTAGTACACTAACAAGAGTGAGCAGGAAAAAGTTTTAGTCTACCAGACAGATGAATCGAGGGTAATCACTGATGTAGATTCCACTAACAATTACATGCCTCTTGGGAAGGGCAGGGGGGACAGCACTTTACTCTTTGTAAGTTTGGAACTGAAAGGAATTCTGTGTTTAAAGGAAAAGGGTCATTCTGAAAAGAGACTATATGAACAGCTATGGTAACAGTCTTTTGTAAATATGTATATTTTGTATACACGTGGTCTGAAAAAAATATGTATTTGACACGCTTATTCAGACTGGCAATGAATGAATGCCTCACCTAATTGTGTTCTGAAAAAGATGCTAAAAGAAATGATCCTAATAGGAAAGTATTAAGTTTTGTGGGTGTTTCTTGTACTTTGGACAACACAATCACCAAACAATTTTATTACTAAATGATCCTCAACAGGAGTTAGTTCAATAGGAGGTTTGTTATTAACACAAATGAAATCAGGCTGAAAAAAGGTGAACGGTGCCAAAGAACTTACAATGGCTTTGTATTAAGTCTTTGCAAACAGCAAAATGACAAAGCAGTCATTGAAACACACCTTCATCAACACCACAAAAACCTATTTCACCATCACTGATGTTTTCTGACTTGCTTATGTTACAGGGTGCCAATAGTAGCTCAAAGGCCGAAAAGTACAGGCTGCACAAGCAGACTCATAGCCCTTCCTTACAAGCTTTCTCTTAATGCTTCAGAGAGACTTCATCCCTTGTAATTTGAAGATATTTTAATGATCCAAGTTTCACAAGTCCAGGTGGCTTCACTAGCTAGCTCTTTAAGTGTTGTCTGCCTTTACTGAAATTAAGGACCTTAATTACAAAGTATTTAAAATTTAGCTGAATCATCTTACAATTACTCATCTAAATCTGAAGGTATTTTCTAAATTTAAAGCTGCATCATTTCTTGTTAATTCAGTGGCCAAAGAAGAAAGTTATCACTCTCGATTATGACCGTGTGCTACTATTATTAGTTGCCTTAGTTCCCTAGTCCATGTCTCAGCAGTCAGCCGGTCCTATGACTGCTCCCAGATTTAATACTTTCCCCAGCATAAGAAAACCATGCTCTTCCAAACTTACCATGGCCTCAGCAGAATTACTTTTATTCATGCCATCCCTATTCATACTCCAAGACACCATTCATACGCACACCAGCAGACCAACTCACCCTTATTCTTGGCAGTTCTGAATAAGGCATACCCTTCAACACCCATTTCAGGTCACAATGCTATCCCACCAAATTTTCGTTACAGGTATAATAGAGTTTTATGTCCTACACCAGAAGTTCTCGTTCCTCTGGTTTGCTGGCTACACTCCTTGCATTACTGTGCAAATATCTCAGTCCTTGCCACACCCAGCTTTCTAGCTCTTTTAGCTCCGTACAGCCTTTTCACCAATTACTTATCCGATTAATGTTCTCATCAAGTGGAGCACTTTCCTTCTCTATGCTATCCATCACTTCCCCCTCTAATATTCTCTGTTGTCCTGTTGTTCTCCTCTGCCCATATACAGACATGGGGATGAATCAAGGCTCTCCCACATACTTTTAATTCCTTGAAGTTCTCCTCATCATGTCAGGCCAAGCAGTCCAATGAGACCTATACCCCAAATGCAGGTGCAGAGCCTATCTACTGAGAAATGTTACATTTATAAACATCCTTCTCCTAGCCATATAACAAATATTCTTCAGAAATCCAGTCACTGAGTCGTCATCATCATCCTATTGAATCCTTCATGCAACACCTTAAGATTGCTGACTGGTATTATAGGTAAGAAGATAAAAACCTCGTTTTGCACTAATAGGATATTTCAATATCCCCACAAGTCAAGCCTTTGGGGCATTTTGAATAAATCCAAATATTAATGTGACTGTTTTTACCCACCTATTCACTTTCGTTAACCTCCAGAACTTTACTAGACCCCTCTAGTTCTTCACATTTGGTCAACACTAGCTCAAAAGGAAGAATAACAGCACAACTATAAAAGCAACTTTAAGGACATCCGCATCCCTAATAACAACTTTAAACAGAAGTTGCATCAATGACATGGCTTAATTTTTGGTGTCAGAAGAAACTACCAACAGATTTTTGCCCACCTTTCGAACTGCAAATATACAGTCACAGAAACTACCCAAAAGCCTCCTAAAAAGAGCACCAAACACATTCTTTCACTTGTCTGTGTGCAGCACAGTGGGGAGAGGGTTAACTAAAGCACAGTTTCAAAGTCTGAGTGTTAGATTTACTTTACCATCTCCATTTAAAAATATATTTAGAACAACTTGTTCCTGTAAAATACCGATGCTACTATTTTGTAGCATCTCTAAAATAGCTTAAAACTCAGAATGATGACAGACTTAACGCTGTGATGACAACGCTGCGAAGTTCACATGATTCTCTACAAAGCAAATTACGTGGCTCAATGGCAAAGAGTTTCTTAAAACAGTTTTTGGGCACAGCTTAGTCATGCCATAGAGATAGGAGTTTTGAACTATGCCATAGTTAAATTCTAACTCGTGCTTTCAGATTCTTGCTGCATTGTTGTTAGAAGAAAATACGGGTCCCTTGTCTTTTAAGGTACACAGAAGAAGAATTGCACTGACCAGGTTGTCAAGAACACAAATGTGAATGCTCAAATTGTGATTGTGTTCACAATAAATAAATAAATAAATAAATAAGACAGCTCAGTATCCAGCAGCTTTAGCAGAGAACCACTGCTGGTAGGTAATAGGCCCCCGAAAACATACATGAGCTTGTGAAGAGTAAATACACCAGCTTGCTTGGCAGATCAAAGTTCTCCACGTAAGCACATGCAGCATAATCAGAACAGGTAGCAATAAACCAAGCTCTCTACCTAGTCCAGCAGTGTCACCCAGCACAGTTTGAGTGATACACTCATACAACCAAAACTGTAATTCAGAATTTAACCTCAGGCCTATGTGTCATTTTGACTTAATTGCAACATGATTTTTCCCTGCCATGAAAGTCTCTTAGACGACAAACTCTCCTCACCTCCAGCATACCTACTCAGGATGTTATATTGAAGTGCAACTCTGACAGCTGAAAAAATATTCATAGCATTAGCCCCACAAAATGAAAAAGTTTATTAATAAAGGGGTACAGTTCTATGGAACAATTTCTACTTTCAAATAAAAATAAACAAATGATTTTAGGAAAAAAAAAAAAAAGGAGTTAAAGTAGTGATGAAAAACAAGGAGACATTGGGATAAGTGGTCTTCTTAGCATTACCTGGACAGTCAACTTCATCACTCTCGTCCTCACAGGTGGGCCATCCATCACACTGCCAATTTGAAGGGATGCACTGGATGGTACCACTCCGACAAGCGAACTGCCCTGGGGTGCAGCGGAGCTCTAGGAAAGAAGAAAGTTGTGTTATTTATTCCTCTGAGTCCAAATACATATAACGTAATGGACAAAAGCTCTGGATAACTCAGCCTGCTAAAAACTGCTGAGCTTCAGATCACTTCCATATTTCAAACTGGACATTTACAGGCTTTAACAGACAGGAGGGCCTGTGTACAGCGTTTGTGAAAGAAGTCTATCAGACGTCTGTAGTAAAAACTTCCTCGTAAAAACACCACGCAAGATCTAGCTGGCAGATTTTTGGTTCACGCAGTCATACGCACTTTAGTTCAGCTTTCTCTATGGCAAATAGGGTTCTGGTCTGACCATGGCAGACTCTGCTCCTACATTATCATCATCTAGAAAGAATAAGGAAATCATTTAGCAGTAGGTTTCCCACTTACGAAATACTAACAGGAATACAGGTTGATAATGTGAGAACAAAACTGTTTTTCAGATTTCTAAATTGGATTTTCAAAACCAATTCCCAAAAAGTGACACCATAGTTTCTCTTAAGTCTGCTCCTTTCACATATCCAAAAATAAGTTGGTATCTTTAAGAGAAGAAGAGGAAGGGAAACCCATGTTTGCACAACGTTCCCAAGCCCAGGTCTAGCTGGAGAAGCTGCAAGCTCAGGGACCCAGTAGCAGCCATCACCACAGTGAGTGCTCCCCTTTTACTTCTTGCCATGCACTTCAGACAACTTGCTCACTTGCCTCAGAAGCAAAGTTTAACAACATGCTCTGGTAGCTTTTACATGCTGGATTATGCAATGAATTCAGAATGCAATTTCCACTGCAAGCAGTAGGTACGCCAGGCCCCACCCAGACTTGCACAACTGTCCAGCCCAACTTCGAGCCAGTTCACGTAACTATTTGTAAAACAATTTCCATATTGATGGACCTGTTTTCACTTTCTAGCTCACACTCTTTTGTAGAATTCCTGTGTATCAGCAAATCCTTCAAAAGAAACTGCCAGTATCTGCAAACTTGCAGTGCCTGCTGCTACAGCACTACTACCTACCTGCCGTCACCACACTGTCAGTCCTAATTAGCATTATAAAAAGTACAATTTTTGTCAATGCTTTTAAAGGTATCAATTCCATCCATCAAATGCCAGAAAGTAATAATTCCGCTTAATTTTGTGTTCCTCACTATATTTTGCAGGGAAAATCTGTCTATACAAGGGATGAACAACTCCAAGCTTGTTTGCAGACGGCAGGTCTGCGAGTGATGAGCATCGACGCGCTCACCTTTACACCAGACCATCACCGTGCAGCTTTCCTCATGACAGTGGTTCTCAGTATTGCACTGCTTTGGGTAACGGCAGTTCGGCTATGACTTGAGAACTAGCACCTCTTATTAAAAATAAAAATCAAACAAGGGTTTAGAAAGTAATGCACACTCAGCCCTGACTTTGAAAGAATGAAGCAGGTCGCTGTTTTTATTGATGGGGGAAAGGAAGCTCTAAGGAATTTACAATATAGATGCCCGTTCTCTCATCCACAGTTCACAGCTTAAGAGAAGAAGCTCTATTGCAATTGCCACCTTCCCAAAATGCATGTCTAAACTAAATCAAGGCAGAGGTTACGTTTAAATTTCTGGACAACACAGCCATGCAAAATAAGATAAGCGATCACCCACTGTCAACCAGAGCCATACCCACATACCTAATAATTAGTACAGGATATTGTTTGATAGGCTTATTGTTTGATCGTAGACTCAAACCCACTTCTTTTGAAGACACCCAGATATTAAAACAGCATTTAACAGCGCCTGTTTCTCTCCAAATCCCAGAGCTGCTCTGCTAGCAGAATGGAAGCGGACACATGCTCCTCGTACACCACCTACTCGGAGCAAACACCCCGGTCACCAAAGCACAAGGAGCTCACGCAGACCTGCCTGACTGCTCCCGGCAGCAGCACGCGACAGCAGGACGAGGAGCGCTCTGACCCAGTTAGAGTTTTATTCGATCCAAACCACTGACAGCAAAGAGCACAGTGGAAATATTACAAACAGGGAAACAAAAATAAAAAAATAAAACCAAGAAACCGCCACCACCCCACACACCTCGTAGCTTAGGTCACACATGATGACTTTTTTCCCCTGAACAAAACCTGAAGAAATTTATTCAGCCCAAAGAAGGGAAGAAGTTTGTGATTATGGGAATAAAAGGTTAAGCTTCACTTGTCCAATGTAGCAAGAAAAAAAAAGATAAAGCTAAAGCTACAAAAAAATACAACTGAAGTTGAAAATTAAACTCAAATTTCAAGTTCACAGGAAAGCATCAACTCAATAAATCATCGCAGCCTGTTTTACCACGGTTTGCATGAAGCATAAAGTTTCTTAAGAAGTTCAGCCACTGCCTTTCCAAGTACTGAATTTACACCGGAGCCTCTGGAAGATGTTTTCAACACGAGAGGCTGCTTTCAGCCCAGCTACAGGTTTCCATTACAGCTTCCTCCAACAATGGCAAAACGCAATTCAATACTTCAAATGAATCCTTTCAACCTGCTTGTCGCCCGCTTTCAATGGAAGTCGCACACAGCTGAGAAGAAGCTGCTCTGCAGCCCTGCCTTTCACAGACAGCACCCAGGAGAGCACGTGGGAAAGCCTGCGAAGTGTCCTTCGTGTCTCTCTTCAGTTCCATATGCACTATTTTAGGTACGATTACATACAACAGGTTCAAATAAGCAAACAGCCCCATCCCCACATTTCTGTCATTAAAACCTGCCAGTTACATGCCGTAATGTGGCTGCTCCCTGCATTACAGGCAATCCCCTATGAAGAAGGTGTATACACGAGGGGACACAAAACACATTCATTTAAACACGGCTCGGGTTAACCAGCAGGGCACTTGGTCCCGAGGGAAAGCACACCACGGCAGGTTCACTCGTTATTTCACAGCAAGGAGCAGGAGCTGCTGGGCGATTCTGCTGCAGGGAGAACAGTGACACTAAAGGGCATGGTTGCAAAACCCAGTCTCCAGACGCTGAAAACACCACCAGTAATGCTTCCTGAGCTACCCGAGCCCTGAGCCCACACCTCCCTGCATGACCGAACTGCTTTATTCATTGTGCAGCGTCTGGAAGAGCTTCAGCTTAATTGTTCTGCTTCTGGTTGCTGCCCATCGTGTTTTAGCATGAAAGACAAACAGCACGCAGCCACCTGAGGAAACCTGCCCACCTCTCCCACCTGGACTCCCCAGAGGGGGCTGCGCTCAGCTGGGACATCCCTGGTGACCTGCTTCTGTGCCAGCTCTGATGGTAACTTGCAGCAAGAGGATGAGGAAGAAAAGCATCTCAAACTACCAGCTCCTCTCCTCTCCCCCTGCTCCACAACAGCAGCAAAGCAGCACTGCACACACCTATTTGCTGCCAGCTGTTAAAGCAGAAAGATTTTTGGTACTGTTAGGAAATATGAAATGCAGTAAGTTTGGCACCTGTTGCAGCACAGGTACAAACACATCACGCAGTGGTCAACAACTGGCCACAAGTCAAAAACTGGAAACACAGCCACCTCCTGTACTCACATAGGACACGGAGAGTTAAATCAGCAGAATCAGGATCCACATAGGAGCTTCTAGTGTAAAAGGGTACTTTTTCTTGTAAGAATCAAACAGTCTTTTCTCTGGTGCAGCACAAAATTTAGTATACAAGTCTCACTTTCGAGCAAATGTATCTATTCATTGGGATGAAGGGAAGCAAGCAAACAATGGAAACAGCAACAGTTGTAGCTCTTTACAGGGCATAAATTTACAAACCATTACAAAGTTCAAGGGTGCGAGAATGTGAAAACACTTGAAGCAGCAAGGTGTTGTTATAAGTCGTCTTCAATTCGCCATCTCAAAGCACTTCTAGAATGTTAACCCTCAATCTTGCCAGCTACTGCATCCTTCTGTCAAATGAAGCGCAGGAAAATGGCACAGCTGGCCAAAGGCTGCCTCCGAAGAGACGAGCCTGAGAGCAGGGTTCAGCTCTCCTGGATGCAGCTCCTGTGCTCCTCCCTCCAACACCCCGCACCTTGCCAGCCCACCAGCACGCTCCTACCTGAACTCACGTTTTCCCTTCAGAATCATCATCGACTAACATACGGTCTCCAGCCACCTGTTCTCTCTAGCAGCACCTAAGAGCTACAAATTGGCCAACAGGAGCAAGAAACAAAGAACACCTTAGCTTTATAAAAAGAGAAAAAGAAAAATCAGTCAGACTTTGTATCAGTTCTACAAGCTTCACATATAGCACGATATAAGCCTACTGTCAAGCAAAGGCCAAAAAAACAATACTGATTTCATGGGACGCATCATTAGGTAACATCATCCACCCTCGGGAGTCACTCACCTGAAAGCAGCTTTGCCGAAGCTAGCAGCAGATCTGTAGTTTGAAATTTAAAACAAAACTTACAACGCAGTTGGAAACTTAATCAAACACCAGAAATTCCAAGGGAGATTGTAAATAAATTTAAACAGTGCCATATAAACAAGTCTCCATCTCCTTCAGCTGCCAAGTAATTTTTTTTTTCTAAGTTAGGCACTAACAAAATCAACAAGATTTTTGACTAAAATAAGAATCCAGGTTTTATAGGGGGAAAAAAGTTTTCAAAGTGGTTGTTCGCACTGCCACAGAAAGCTTTTGTTCCATTTTCACAATGCCATGTCTAACGCCAGATGTTTCACTGCACCCATCACGTAGTTCAACACAGGGTTCAATGAGCTTCCTCCCCCCTGCTTTTATGGCACACTCATTTCCAGATTTTCTGCTAAGTGCTCAAAATGGTCATTTACACATTATCTTCAACCAGGAAGACCGCGTGACAGATGGATAAAACAGCCACCCGCACGTTTTAACTTCCAGCACAGTTTCGCAGGTTTCATAAAACAAACACCTTGTCTCCATTATAAAACGATGCAGGAAGCCCTCCTAGGTTTAATCATCTCATTTAATCTTTCTGAATAATTGAGGACGCTTCCCTTCTGGGGCCTGTACACGTGCAAGTCGCGGCGCAGTGATC